TAGTAGTAAATCATGATATGCTGAAAGATAATGAAAACATGTTTACCTGTTATCTATAATTGACAATTGGTACCAAAAACAGAACATAAGTGTTTAAGTTTTATTTTGGTTTCTCAAATTTGAGAATTCCCATGAAGATCCCATGACACATAGAATTAAACATTTCCTATTCTGTTTTCTATGTGTTTGGGAGGCCCCTGCCACTGCTTTCTAAGTGTTGCGTGATGCTCTAGGTGGGAAGTCTTGCACTTGTCAGGCAGTAACGCTTCTCAGGCAGTGGTAGAGAACTGTTAGTAGAACAGTGGGGACCTCAGAGAAAGGAGGTGGGCTATGGCAACCACAGGATGGGCAGACTCTAAACAGCCCACTCTGAACAGCAACTGGGACCCCAAAGGGATGCATACAGTACTCAGGGATTGTATATTTATAATCACTATATAATACTTCTGCCCTAGTTAGCTTTCTATTGCTGTGACAAAGCACTCTGACCAAAACCAAGTTGGGGAGGAAAGGGTTCATTTGGCTTCCATGTCCGGATCACAGTCTATTTTTGAGGAAAGCCAAAGCAGGAACTCAAGGCAAGGACCTGGAGGCAAGAGTTGAAGCATGGACTATGGAAGAATGCTGCTTACTGGCTTGCTCCTTTGGCCTGTGCTCAGCCTTTCTTTCTTTTTTTTTTTTTTTAATTTTATTTATTATTTTTATTTTATGTGTATGCATGTATTGCCTGCATGTAGGTAAGTGCACCCATGTCGTGCAATGCCCATGGAGGTCAGAAGAGGCTGTCGGATCCCCTGGGACTGGAGTTAGGACAGTTGTTAGCTGCCATGTGGGTGCTGGGATTCAAACCCGGGTCTTCTGCAAGAACGGCTAGTGCTCTTAACCACCAAGCCATCTCTCCAGCCCCACAGCCTACTTTCTTATACAACTCAGCACCACCTGCCCAGGGGTGGCACTACCCATGGTGGACTGACCCCTCCCACATCACTCAACAATCAAGAAAATGCCTCACAGATGGGCCCACAGATCAGTAAATTCCCCAATTCAGGTTCCCTCTTCCCAGGTGTGTCAAGTTGACAACTGAAGCTATCCATCATAACTTATATAAAACCCATTCTTGCAGTTATGTCTGTGCATTTAAGTGTTTATATTAGACAGTGAAGTTTGAAAGGCTGGCTTACCAATGGGGTTCAGTTCCGAAGTATTCATGTGGATAACATATAACTGTACTCTCCAGACTTTAAACATTTTTCCCCCAGAATATATTCGTAAATGCCATACTTATTCTGGTTATTGCCACTCTTTCCTATTTTTATTTTTTTCTGTTGCCACTTTTGATTAAAATGAGAGTAATGTGTTTGAGAAAGGCCTGTGACCTTCATTAAGGTCACCTCAGTTTTTGTTATATCAGTTTTTGCTTTATTTTTAGAGGGGCTGCCCAACATTCCCTGATTTTAATGACTACCCTCACCTCTTCTAATGTTGGGTGAAAAGACAGCCCAAGGGCATTCTGAAAGAATTCCACACCCTACATAAAACTCTGGAGCCAGTGAGAACTTAATGAGCCAGAGAGGGAGAAAAATCTTTCTTTTTTGAAATGGGAACTAAGAGTAGGTTTCATTGATTGGGTTTTGAAATATATTAATAAAATTATTTACTTAGCACAGATATGCATAAAAGGAAGAGAGCTAGAGCAGCAGCAGTTAAGATCTCAGGGTTTGGAATCCCATAAGGCTTTAAATCTTTGTTCTACCATTTACTTAGCTGAAACATGGGACAAGTAATTTAATCTCCCCAAGTCTCAATTTCCTCATTTCCAAATGGGGAAATTTATAGCAATCTCTCACAATTGTCACAAAGATTGTATGGCAATGTAAAAACAACAAATCTTAGCCAGCCCACACGGAAACCCTAACAGTGAGCTCACAGCAGTGTAGCTATTGTTACCATGGACATTTACTTGAACCACATCTATACATACTTGGGAGAACCAAAGTCAGATTTGTTTGCAGAGATATGCTCTTCCAATTCTATTGTTAGATTCCATCAAGCTGTTCTGTAATTATTTGCTCTGTGTCTGACTGGTCCTACCAACTGAGGTTTGTGGGAAGAGGGCTCCCAGGGCGTTCTGGGCATTCTATGGCTGTTCTCTTGTCCATAGTGAACATGATCAGCGCAGTATTTGGTATGACGTATCTGTGGAATTGACAAGGGGAGGCCATGGGTGGCAAATCAAGTCAGAAATGGGGATTTGGGTGCAAGGAAGACAGAAGAAGGTGGAAATAAGTGGTCCTCAAGCCCTTTGGTTAGGGTGGTTGTGCAGGTTATATGGCCAAACTATGATGGAAGCACGAAACATGTTGAATTACAGTCACCATAGTGCTCTAGCCCTCTCATGAAATGAAGCCCATGAGCAATAGTCTGTATATCGCTTGACACAATCAGGATTTGGAGAATAGCTTTAGCTGATACTTAAGAGTGTGTTTTAATACCTTGGAGTTTTCTGGTTTATTTGGAGGCCAATTTTAAAGTGATTAATCTGTATAGATACGGCACTGATGTTGCTAAGTAATGGATTTGGTTTTGAACTGAATGATGTAACTGTGGGGATATGAGATATTTCTATTAAATTTTAATTTATCTTAGCTAACATGACAGGTACAATGTAAAACTAGAGAAGTAAATTTGTTCCCCAACCCTGGTTTACTAAAGTCACATTCACCAACACAAATGCATTAAAACTATATAGGGGCAACTTCTGATGAGTACTGCCACCCAGATACTCTATAAGCAATGTTTTTATCTGTAAACCACGTTCTCTCCTCACTCTGGCAGGCACAGGTCTGTGTGGAGTTGAGTGTATTTATTCTTTCAGAATAAGGAAGAAACTGTGCTGACGGGAACAAAGAGTCCACACTGTGAGTGGGAAAGCTGGCTTAGGGCCAAGAGGATATTGCTGACAAAAGACCTGCAGCAGATAATCTGAAATTTGGATAATCTTCCTGAGGTGTTGAAATCAGCTTCATGGCATTACCAAAAGTCAAGAAAGATTTCCAGGCAGAAGCGAGGGGGACATGCCCTGCAAACAAACTGTAGTGAACATCATATTATTCCCTTTCTCAATGCTGCCTTTCAAACATACAAGTCAGTGTTTGCCAGATGACACATACCAATATGTATGAACTAAAGTCACTGTTGAGTAAGGCTGTGACACGTATCTCTCAAGAGAATGAAGAAAAAGTCTCAGAGAAAGAACCAATTACAAAAGCCATCATATCAGAACTGTTTTTAAAAAAAGCCAGGGTATTGTAGGGTCTCTAAAGTCAACCATAGTACCTGGTATTGGCATCCTTTTAGTGATGCTCGCTATTTGAATGAAAAAAAGATCTCAAGATTATTGAAGATGTATTTCCAATGAGCAATACTAAGACCTAGTTCAAAGAGTTAACCTCCAGGGGGGAAATGCAGAGAAAACCAGAAAGTACAAGGAGGTTTTGTGACGTTGGTCTGTGCAAATGTCCTCCAGGTAGAAAGGTTGTGGTGAGTTGGTGCCTTTCTATGTGCTGCCGGAGGATGAGGTTAGAACAGTCTAAAGCTAGTTCATTCCAGGACTCCGGGTGTTTAAAGAGATCTTGGTATAGCATAGCTCTGGGTCTTTTTTTTTTTTTGTGGTCTTTTCTGAGACAGGGTCTCCCTGTAGCCCCAGCTGACCTGGAGCTTGCTATGTAGACCAGGCTGGACTTGAACTCAGAGATCTGCCTGCCTCTGCCTACTGAGTGCTGGGACTAAAGGCTTGTGCCACCACACCCGGCTAGCTCTCGGACTTTTATGAATACAGTAAGAATGAATGTAAGAGGGGAGCTGACTGGAAATCTGGGACATGCAAATTTTTAAATGCATGATGTTCCTAAGTTTCATTTCTAAGGAAATTCCCAGCTGGATATTCCTGATCTGGTCAGCTCTTTTCTTTCCTGGTCCATGTATTTCACTCCTTGGCCCTCTTTTGATGTGTGTGTGTTACATACCTATGCAGACTTAAAGTTGTCTTCTTTATTTATATCAATTTTGTGTCTCTGTTCTTGCCACATGGGAACTCTTGAAGGAATTTTTGGGCTTCCAGAGCCAGATCAAGTGATGACCCCATGTGTTTTGTTACACTGAAAAGCACCATTTGAGATTTTTGTGGCCTTGCAATCGAGGTCTAGGGAACAAAATTAAGACCTCAAAAAGCATCCAATTCCATAGGAAGAGGGCAAGGAAGACATGAGAACACTCAGCCCCTGAGGTTTTACTATCCTCTTCTTATTCCTTCTTTGGGTGGCTCTTCCTCACTTGAAAGTATTTCCTCCAGCTGTCTGTCACAAGTGACTTCACTTTTTGTTCCAAGGTGCATAATTTCTGCCTTCAAATTGTCACTTCTCCACCCAGGGAAGAACTGTCTCATTCACCTTTGCATTGGCTTTGGCCATCTAGGGAGTCCTGTGGCCTGCCATTGAGAAGCTTGGTCACTGGTAACTTCTAAGTCAATCTCCCTACTAGACAGCAGTGATAAGACAACAACTATTTCTATCCCTGACCCTCCATGCATAGACACGATGCACTTTCATTTGCACACAGCAGGGACTTGGCTGACATGAAAGTGAAGGCAGCCTTCCCTTTCCTAACAACAGCGTGCTTCAATAATTTACCTGGTGAAACAAAATAAATAAATGGACAGTTTGGGAAAGTGAAGGCAGAGAACGGAGGAAGGGTGTCCATGAGTCAAGTGACCCAATCTTTGACCTCGCCTGGCCATGCTCATTTCCTGTCAAGAAGCTGGAGGAGTTAAAACCATCTCAAGAGAAGTTTAAAGTAGTCTATAGACACAAACATGTTACTACTTCCTTTACAAGCTTATGGCAAAAAGTGTGAACATTTAGTAGGTGCTGGCCTGCAGGGTTAGATATTGCCTAACCCCCAAGTAAGTAGGCTGTAATACTTTTGTAATTATTTTCCCACAGGTATGAGTTAGGAGCTGCCTTGTTCATTGGATGGGCAGGAGCCTCACTCTGTATAATTGGTGGTGTCATATTTTGCTTTTCAATATCTGACAACAACAAAACACCCAGGTAGGAAAAAGAGACAAAACGACCTGTTAAAATGTGCTATACTACCCTGGTGGGTCAATCACGCTCCAGGGGGTGGACCCCACTCTGTTTTTTGTTGTTGCTATTGTTTTGTTTTTGACGAAGATACAATGTTGGGGAGGTAGAAAGGTGGGAGAGGATCTAAGAGGAGATGGGGAGGGTTAAATATGATCAAAATACATTTGATAAAATTCTCAATTAATAAAAATATTTTTAAAGTGTTATACTATTCTAAATCATTACATTTTGGGGGGGGCAAGTTGCACTAGAACATGCTATTCTTAGAAATTAAAAATATATATAACAATTGAAAAAGGTTAAGAGTAGAATTAGTTTTCTTCTGTTTTTTAAGATTTCATCATATTCCAAAGCTGTTTCTGTAACCAGGAGTTAACCAGTCTAAACATGAAGGCCTGTTCTTCCCATTGACTTTATCACAATTGTCACATAGGCAGGAACTGTTGATCAACGTCACTCCTAAGCTATCTAGAGTCCAGGAAGATGCATTTTAAAAAACAGTTTTAAAAACAAAAATAGTTTTGGAAAAAGAGTAACTAAGAAATAAGTAAGTCATGAGTTTTTTCTGCAGAGATTGTTTGTCACTCAGGCCACTCAGAAACACTGAACTCTTTCTCAAGAACAGAAGAGGGACAAGAACTAATGAGAGGAAGTCTCAAGACCTAGCTACTGACAGAAATGAGCTGAAGTGGTTTTGTACAGTTTTTTTTTTTTTTGCCCTGAATGTGAAACAGAACCAACCCAATTATGTTTTACCTTTCAGAATGGGCTACACATACAATGGACCCACATCTGTCATGTCTTCTCGGACCAAGTATCATGGCGGAGAAGGAGACTTTAAAACCACAAACCCTTCCAAACAGTTTGATAAAAATGCTTATGTCTGAAAGAGCTCTCCTGGAAAGCTGTGTCTTGAGTCTGTTATAAAAGCGAACTGTTCACAAAATGATCCTGTCAAGGCCCTCCTATAATTAACACTTAAACTGTTTTTAAAATATGAATTTGAAGAATCTGTTGATTAGATGGATATAAATGTTCTTACAGTTATGTACTAATCATTTTGTTGTGGTTTTCTATAAGAGAAATAAACAGGCTATTTACATTTTATACACTTAGAGAACAGATAAAGCATTTAATACCAAAGATTCAAGAAGTATTGGGAAGACAGCCTTTTTGTATGTTGAGGCCTTCCCTCATTTCATTCATGTGAAACAGAAGTGTATAAGGAATGGTGTCTTGTAAAGTGTGGGCAGAGCTGGAGACTATTCCTCATAAGGTATCCAAGTTAAATAGACATGCTATTGTCTACTGTGTAGAGTTGATGTCTAGATCCTTACACCCATTTGTCAGGACTGTCATTCATTATGATGGCTCAAGGAAGGGCTAACAAGGTCAACATGTCATTGCTCTTCATGTGGCACACAAACCATGTAGGCTTGTCTTACACAGAAAGCACATTAGCATCAGCTGAGCTGGGCATTGGTGGTGGTTGACTCTGAAGACATTCAGCAGTTCTGGGGCCTATGTGGTGCCTGCCTCTCAGAACTAGTGAGCTCATTTCTAGTGTGTCTCGTAGGTCCTCCATAGGTACTAACTGGGTAACTAAGAGAATGGCCATTTTTCAAGACATGAAAGTTGTTCTAGGGGTTTCTGAACAAAAATATGGATTTATTCCTCAAGTCAGCCCTGCATATCACATGCTTATGAAGGCAGTAATTCTCTTCATTGCCACACAGTTTATGTGCACTGACACATTCATCCTTACCATCATCATATATGGCATAAACTTTTGTTAACCTACATTAACAGAGCAGAAAAGGAGAAGAGAGAATTGAAGTAATAAGTCTAGTCCTAAATGAGCCAGGACTTAAGCTGGGATGGTGTAAGGTCAAATATCCAGTTTCAAGCTATGGGTAAGAATAGGTGCTGTGTTATCTTATGAAATGTCAGGAATGAATCACCACATGGGTGATTACATGACTTTCTTGAAGGGTGAACCACTGGAAAGGAAAAATCACATTGTTTGGAGGTGCTTAATGGAAAGAAAATGAAATGATATGTTTTTAAAAATAAAATTAAAATAAAAAATTTCATACCATGTTAATACTTGAAATATCTTTTTCTTAAATGTGAGTTAGGTACTATAGACCATTGTGGGAACAGTGTTGTGTGAACATAAGTTTAAAACAATGTTTTTCTTTAACTGAATTAGTAAAGATAGCAATTAGATTACTGAATGTAGAGAGATGAGGAGATGAAAGTGCAGACATGTCAGCTGGGCACCATGGAAGGGCAATTTAAGGTCATGGGCCAAAGAAAAGAATAAATCAGAGAGTAGAAATAGAGATTAAACTAACAGATAAGGGATTTGGTTTTGTGCCTTAGATATACCAACTTCGTTCAAATACTGGGTATGGTGCAAAGGTTAGTAAATGCCTCCTCAGCCTCAGAAATAAAAACGTGGCAGACACAGAACCTGGAACAGACTGCTTTAAAGCTAACTCTTGTCACGTTCTAGTGTTGTGGCCTTTGGCAAGTGACTTCCTAACTCTCGATTTTTGAACATCTCCAAGATTGTAGGAATGAGCACATCTCAAAGTTTTAATGGAACGAAGGGAGAATATATGTTCAAAACAGAAGCAAAACCAAGTGGCGCGGTACCTGTCAAGGAAACGGGTGGAAAAGCAAAGTGAACCCTTTCACACATGTGTTTCTGTAGGTTGCTTATCTCTCAATACATCACAGTCTTACTAAAGCTTTTAGAAGCAATACATAACAAGGGAGTCTTTTTTACATACCCTGGCTCTTGTGGGAAGCCCAAAGAATTTATTGAAGGTTTGGAACAGGCACTCATAAGTTTGAGGTTGGTAGCCACAGAGACTTATAGCAAAGTCAGAATGTTATATGGCACAACTCAGTGTTAAATGCCTTCATAAATTTAGCTCAGAAGTCATCTCTAATAATCAGTCACAGTCACATGGTGTAATGGAGGACTTTACTGGCAAGGCAGACAGAGACCCGAACTTAACAAACCATCTAGTTTTTGTTACTATTTTAAAAAATAGAGTACCGATAGTACCACAAATTATAAAAAATATTTTTAAAAAAGGAAAAAAGAATTTAAAAGAAGAAAAAACTCATTTATATATAAACCTTCTGATCTTTACGAAGATCAGAAGGGAATATATATATTTGTTCTGAGGTATTTTATAATATGGGCTGGGTATTAAAAAACAGCATACACATATGATTCAGTAATGACTCATGTTTTTCCTAGTGATAATCTGATAAAAAGTAATTGCCATTTAGAACAGCTGCACATCATTCATAAAATATCCAAGATAAAGGTGACACCACAGAAAATAATCAGTTAAATGCAATATGCTTACAGGGCTTCAAAGCTGAGTAGGATTAAAGGTATGTTAAGAAAATGTTTTAGCATGGGCCTAGCTAATTGTTACTATTCTTGACTTATTTCTACATGAAAAATAACTAGCTTAACTCTTGAAATTTCAGACTTCACTAATTCAATTTTAACAAGACAACAATTTTATAACATGAGCATGTCCGATGTGACAGTATATATACATACACACATACATGCTCTAATAATTCAAACCAAAGTCTGCTATAGGTAAAAATGGAATCTCAACTCCATATTCGCTTGCATTTTCCTTTAAAGTATTATGTATCAAACTTTTTTTTACTGGAAAAAATACTTTTTATGACTTCAGTGACATCTTGCTTTTATACAGCAGAGGTCGAATACCTTATATGCTTTAAAATACTGCTGACAGTTTGTTTCTAGTACTGTTAAGTGTCATTAAAGACACCCTTGTTCTGCATGGGCTTCCTTGTTACTGTGGGAAACACTAAGGCAGGAGCATTAGAATCATATAGGCTGTTAACTGCAGTGCTGCTGGCTTCTCAAACAATTTTCCAATATATGGAGCTGTAGTCATACATCCAAGAAGTCACTCCAGTCCGTCATAGTTACTAAGCTGCTTTTCAATGTGCTGGATTCATTTTCATGAAGCCCTGAGGAGGGAGAGGGAGAAAGAGAAGGACCCCATGGTTAAACTAGCACATACTCAAGTCTGTGATATCAGGTGGTCTTTTCTCACTCAGTGTCAGAATCTGTTCAGGAAACCTTGCCCCCAGCCCCCACAGGCTTTGGAGAAGGCTGTTAGAAAATTTATCCTTGAGTTGGCCTGTGAGCATCTCCTCTGCAGCCTATAAACTCCTGGGCAGCAGGGCCTATGTCCTGCTTCTCCTGAGCATTCAGCACAGGGCTTTGATGCTGAAGGTACTTAGCACCTTTGTGTTATGTTATTAACTCTAGATGAATGGAAGTTGTGAAAGAAATGAAAATAAAATCCAACACATCAATGCAAATCTCTAGTGTAACACTTAGAGGGTAAGTGTCAAAACCAGATTTTATGGGGTAGATAAAATTAAACTTGAAATTAATTTTAAAAAGTCATGATTCTGGGGGCTGGAGAGATGGCTCAGCAGGTAAGAACACTGACTGTTCTTGCAGAAGACCCAGCATCCACATTGCAGCTAACAACTGTCCATAACTCCAGTTCCAGGGAATCTGACAGTCTCTTCTGTTCTCCGTGGGCATTGCATGACACGGGTGTACTTAACCTACATGCAGGCAGTACACGCATACACATTAAAAAAAAGTCATGATTCTGAGGTATGGAAATAGTATAGTATAGAGAACTTGACTCCAGTTTGAATCTAGAAACATGTTCTCAGAGGAGCAAAGGGTCCTGGCATTTAAGCTCCCTCTCAGCCCTGCTCATTATGAGGCACTGTGACTCAAGCCCAGCCTTAATTTTTCAGCAACTGCAGCTGATTCTTAGACAGCACAGATGATAATGAACCCTAAACCCCTCTGTCTTGGCAGAATATCAGTAGCTAATGCCTGAGGTTGTCAAATCAAGGGGCTGGTCTAAGTTCATTATTAAGAGGCATGGGGGGCTCACCAGGTACTAAATTAAAGATGGTGAAATACGGAGGAGCCCTTCTGCATACCATGGCTTTCACGTGTGTGAGGATTACTTTGATTAAAAAAATATAAATTATGGGGCTGGAGAGTTGGTTTAGTGGTTAAGAGCACTGACTACTCTTGCAGAGGACCTGGGTTTGATTCCCAGCATCCACATGGAGACTATGAATTGTCCTTAACTCCAGTTCCAGGGGAATCCAAAGCCCTCTTCTGACCTCTGCAGCATTGCATGACATGGCTGCACTCACATACATGCAGGCAATACATTAGTACACATAAAATAAAAATAATAAAATATTTTTAAAAATTATATAAATTATAGCCAGGCGCAGGAGCACCTATAATCTCAGCACTTGGGATGTTTAGGCAGGAGGATCACAAATTCAAGGCCAGCCTTGGGCTATATAGTGACATAGTTTAGACCCTGTTTCAAAAAAACCAAACAAACAAAATAAATGAAATATGTATACTATGATTTTCTAATAAAATTAAATCTATTGCGTTATATTACTAGGTTTATCCAGGCTCTCTACTAGGTGAATGGGAAGCATTCTAACTAATGTTTTCATTTGTGATTAATTCCACAGACTGCAATACTACAAGAAAAAATTTCTCCTGGAAGAAAGTCAAGAAAAATATTTAATAGGAAATAGAGGAGTACAGAAAGAATGGCCTTTATTCAGGTATAAGATCAGAAATCCTAATTTCAATGGGGCATCTTTATAATGAGACCATTTGTATGGACATTCTGAAAAATAATGCTAAAATGTTTAATGAAATTAAAGACATAAAATGAATTGTAAAAATATGCAGGTAAGCAGGCTATATTCAGACATTAAATAACATAAAGCATCAAGATCTTCATTATAACCACAGTATTATTTAGTTTTGTCTTTGCTAAGTGCTCTCCCACTGAGCTACAACTCTAGTCCCCAACAGTGTTTTGATCTGCTGATATATTAGTGTAACTAAGTAGATATTTATAAAGGTGAAACACAATTTGGGGCTGGAGAGAGATCAGTTGGGAAAGTGCTTGCTGAGCAAGCACGAGGACCTGAGTTTGATCTCTAGAACCCAAACATGAGTGGTGGCACACGTGTGATCCCAGCACTAGGGAAGTGGAGATAGGAAGGTCCCTGAGGCTCTCTCTGCCAGTTTACCAGGTCAATGAAGGATACCATCTCAGAAACCAAACAGGACAGCTCCTGAGGAATGATACCAGGTCTGACCTCTAGCATCCACATACATGTGCACACACGTACACTTACATGAATGCAAACATAGACCAAAAGAATACACAGCTGTTCAGACAGCAGATGAGAGTGAAGGCTGCAAACCTTCTTCCTTGAATTCCCGAGGGTTAACTGGGCCCCAGGCTCTGGGCACCTGACTGGAATTCAGATCTCTCTTCACAGGTGGAGGGTCCCGCTGTTCTATTTTTTTCCCCAGAGATTTTTCTCCCTCTAAGGATGATATGTCCCAGTCGTCATCATCCACATCTGCACACTAAAAGAGAAAATTATTTGTGTTTTCTAAAGAAACGGCACCTCTCAATCATGTTGTGGTTAGGCTGAGCAGCTGACCTTGAAAGCCGAAGAAAAGTTGGAACGACACAGCATCCCAAACAGGGGCCACTCTGCAGAACAGTCAAGTGAATTTGAGAAGCCACATTTTGAAAGCTAAAGGAAATACTTTTTTTCATGCCTTGGAAACACATTTTCCTCTTTATCAATCATGAATTTAGAAAATCCTAAAAATGCTCCATTGTAGGGGTACGAAACTCTAAAAGCCAAGGTAGGCTACGTCACCCAGGAGCCCTGCATGAAGGGCCCCTCACCAGAAGGAACACATTTCCACCAACCCCTTTCCAAAGGAAGACATGCCACCTCTTTCCTAAATGACACAACTTTTTGTCAATTTTAGTTTGTGTAATACCAAAAGCACTACTAATGAAGTTTGACAGAATCCTGAGTTCCTTGGATGAACAGGATAGGAGGAATTATCTAAAAATTAAGAAAAATTACTAGACGATCCAGTCAACAAAAGACAAGCTGTCCAGGGATGCAACAGGAGAGTGACCCATAGACTCTTGAGGTTAGAACTGCTCACACAATGTTCAGGCCTCTTCTCTGATGCAAGCTGAGAGGCTTGGGCCCTGGCCTCTATTTTCTCCATTCACATATGTCTCCAAAGCATTTCTCCACTGATTCAGGCTCCCAGATGAGGCTAACTCTGAAAAGTTGCCATCTTACTTCTGGGCTATACAAAGATATCAGAAAAGTCCTAGACTTGATGTGGAGGCCCTAGAGTCTAGTTAATCATGATTCTTGACTCAAAGCATTCATTACATATCTGCCGGTGTCAACACACAGGACAGGATACTGAAAACCTGTGAAGTATGATATGCACAAAGGTTATTATAGATTGAATATTCCTTATCTCAAATGCTTGTATCGTGAGCGTTTCAAATTTGGTAGTTTTTTTTTTTTTTTTTTTTTTTTTTTTTTTTTTTTGGTGTGTCTGCCAGGGATTGAACACCTAAGACCTCTTATGTTCTAAGCACAGGCTCAACTTGAACATATCCCAGGTCTCAAAATCTGATTTTTTAAGCTGATGTTAGTGCTTTAGAAGTTTAGCATTTGGGGAGCTGGAAAGATGGCTCAGCAGTTAAGAGCTGCTCTTGCAGAGGACCTGGGTTCAGTTCCCAGTACCCACATGGTGGCTAACAACCACCTGTAACTCTAGTTCCAGGGGATCTAATGCTCTCTTCTGACCTCTGTGGGCATTGCACAGTATACATGTACTTACACATATGCAGGCCATATACTCATACACATAAAATAATAATAATAGTAATATTTTAAAATATTTTAAATTTTAGCATTTTAAAACATTTCAGATTTTAGATATTCAACCTGTATCTGACATCACTCCAGTATCCTGGCTACAGAAAGGTAAGATGTGCAATCCTGAAAACTAGACAAGATGGAAGTGTTGACTTCTACATTAAATAATCATGTTTGACTTGTATTTTGTTATAAAATATGATTGTTAAGGTAGTCATCAAAAGATGAATCAATGTGCTAGGCATGGTGGCACATGCCTTTTAAAAATCTGTAAGGCAGAGACAGGAGGATCTCTGTGAGTTCCAGCCTACACAGGGGGCTATATAGTGAGACCCTGTCTCAAAAAAAAAGAATCAATGTATGGTTGGTAAGTGGTTACCTTTAGTTCTTCTTGGAATCCATCCTTTTTGATCAATGTTTCAGCAACATTAATCCTCCCAACTGGTTTATTCCCATTTCCTTGAGGTAAAACCATGTTTTCAGCATTTTCAGTTTGTATCTGAACAGAAGTTCCTATAGGAGCAATAGAAAATAATTAAGAAAAGTTTTTTTTAATTGCATCTAATCCCAGTTCCAAAATAACCCTACTGCCTGCTTTGAAAGGGTCTAAGCTTTACACGTGATTACATATTTTTCAAATAAAATTAATTGATTTATTTTGGGGTTGAAAAAAATTAAAAATTCCCTTTTAAAAAAAGGAAAAAAAGAAATCATAGGGCTGGAGAGATTGCTCAGTGGTTAGGAACACTGGCTGCTCTTGCAGAGGACCCAGCTAACAACTGTCTGTAACTCCAATTCTAGGGGATCTGATGTCCTCCTCTGACCTCCACGGGCATGGCACAGCATAGGAGCACTTACATACATGCAGGCAGTACACTTGGATGCATAAAATAAAAATGCTAAGTAAAATATTAAAAAAAGAAATGATTGTCTAGAAAAGAAATCACAAAGTTTTCACTTACAATCCCAGAAGGATAGTTTCATTCAAGTATGTGATTAAAAAACTTTAATTCCAACCAATTAGGTAACCTACCTGAATAGTTATTTCAGTGAGGATTTTCCAAAGCAATATGAGTTATTTCTAAAGTAATTCATTATATTTTTCATAATTATATAGTATGTACAAACTGTGTATAATAATTAAATCTTATGCTTAAAATATATAACTAAAAGTTATTTTATGTGTATGAGTATTTGCCTGCATGTATGCATGTATACCATGTGTGTGCCTGGTGCTCTCGGAGGCCAGAAGTCACTGGTTCTTCTGGAACTGAAGTTACAGATGGTTGAGTGCTGCCATATGGATGCTAAGAACCAAACCTGGGTCTTCTACAGCAAATACTTGAGCCATCTCTCCAGCCTCCCCCAGATGAAATTTTCAAATTACACTACATGAAATCCTGTTTTTAAAAAAATGATTCATTGGCTCTACTTCCTTTGAGCAAATTATCAGAAATCTCAGACTGAATCCTTGTCTATCTTTCAAATTATTCTACCAAAAGGCAATGTGATATATTAGGACAGCTGTTCTTGTCATTCAGGATTAATGGCTAAAATCATGACTCCTCAAATTCACATGTGGAGGTTCTCACTCCTAGTATCTTAGACTATGATCTTATTTGGAGGTAAAGAGGTGACTAAATTAAAGTGATGCCATTAAGCGTGGTCCTGTAGGGCTGGGGAATTGCTATGCCAGTAAAGTGCTTACCACATAAGCATGAGGATCCGAGTTTGAGCCCAGTACCCACATAAAAAGCCAGATATGGTAGCATGCATCTGTAATCCTAGCTCTGAGAGGGTGGAGACTAGAGGATTCCTGTGGCTCTACAGCCAGCTAGTCTTGTTAAATCAGTGAGCTCTATGTTCAATGAGAGACCCTATCTCAAAACACCAGGTGTAGAGCAACAGCAGAACACACCCAACATCCACCTCTGGCCTTCACACACATGCACACACATATGCACAACTACACGCATGAACAAATATAGTGCATACACATACACATAATTTAAATAAAAGAGTGGTCCCTGTGAACAGTTCTAATAAAAATTAGAAATTAGGCCTGAGATGAAAGCACAGAGGAAAGATGATGTAAAGATCAGGGAAACACAGCCAACCACCTACAGTGCAAGGACAGAGATACAGAACAGATCTTCCGTGTAGCCTTCACAAGGAACAGATCTTGCCAACGCCTTGATTTAGGCCATCCAGCCTCCAGAATGTTGAAACAATCTATTTCTAGGACTATAAGCCACCCAGTTTTGTGCAGCAGTTGTAGGAAACCCATCACCTATCCCCAATTCCTTCCTCCCCTTCAACTTGAGGGGGAGTGGGGCACTAAACACGTCTGCCTTTCTTGGGCAGCATCTTTGGGATGAGCCCCATCCTTACCTTACAATCCCAGCTTGGATGCCCAGTGCTTGTTGACCCTGGGTGATGACTTCTGTCCTAAATAAAACTTGAGAAAAATTTTCAGGGATCACAGCTTACCTATGGGCTTTGGAGAAACTTCAGAGTCCTCCATTTCACTTCCCTCCGTCCAGTCTGTGTCACTCTTGACAGAGCACTTTCCGAAGTTACTGGTGTTGTTTTTAGGTGGCTGTGCGGTGACCAAGTCTGGAGATATATATGATTGGATGAAGTCCTCTTCACCCAGCTCCTCCTCTGAGCTGAAGGGAGGTGTTCTATACAAGTCAGAACCAAGACAAGGGGTACTGTTTCCTCATTTCAGAACTTACAAACTGTGAGTCTCTCTCTTTTTTTTTTTAGATTTTCTTTTTTCATTTTTTTATATCAGCATACAATGGGAATGGGTTTCATTATGGGCTTTTCTTTTCCTTTTTTAAAACATATTTTATTATTTTTACTTTATGTGTATGTGTGTATTGCCTGTATGTATGTAAGTGCACACATATCATGAAATGCCCGTGGAGGACAGAAGAGGGCATTGGATCCTCTGGAACTGGAGTTACGGACAGTTGTGAGCTGTCATGTGGGTGCTGGGATTTGAACCCAGGTCTTCTGCAAGAACAGCCAGTGCTCTTAACCACTGAGCCATCTCTCTAGCCCCTCATTATGGGATTTTCATACACACTTTGTTTTTGTGGATCCCCTTCTTCTACTCTCCTTCTCCTCACTCCTCTTCTGCTTCATGTCATGTGTACTCCGTTATCTTTTTTTCTCTTCTTTTTCCCTTTCCCTAACCTTCGTTTAAGACTTCTTTTGCCCTCTTATGGTCTACTTTCTAGTTTTATGACCAATATGTTACAAATATACATACATGCGTATTCACACACACACACAAATTAAAATCTAGGATCTGCATATGAAACCATGCAGTATTTATGTGAGTCTGGGATGTTTTGATTAAGATGGTAATTTCCAACTCTATTTTCCCGATCAAAATTCCATTGTGTATACGTATCACATTTTCCTCATCTATTTGTCTGTTGATGGACATCTAGGCTGGTCCCATTTCTTAGCTATTATGAACAGTGCAGAAAGAAACGTGGATATGCAAGTATCTCTGTGGTGGGACTTGGAGTCCTTTGGGTATATGCCCAGAAGCAGGATTGCTGGATCATATGGCTGTTCTATTCTTAGTTTTGTGAGAGACTGCCACACTTATTTCTACAGTTGTCACCACCTAAAGTGTTACTGTCCTCCTTAGGTCACTCAGAAAGCACGACACAGGAGTTCCCCAGTTGCCCCAGACATGGTGAAGACAGAACTATGCATAAGACTGAGGGGCCATTCCAGACCAGATCTGCTAGCCATGGAACATAGTTCTCAAAATGAACCAAAGCTATGACTTTTCTTATCCTAATCCCAGATGTGTACATTCTTTAAAAAAAAATTTTTTTTAACTCTCTATCTCTGTCTAGCCCTCCCTCTTCATCCCCAGTTAAAGTACCCACATTTTCCCCTTTTGTTCTTTGATAATACCTATCTCCTATGGTCCCCCCTCTCTTGAGCTCCTTCTTCCCTAACCCTATGGTCCCTTGTATAACCCTCTCTCTTCTACTCCCAGTTAAATATCCCCATTTTCCCCATTTCTCCCTTGGTAACACCTGTCTCCTAGTGTTTTTCTCTCTCTCAGGCTCCTTTTTTCCCTTTACCTCCCTGGTTCCTTTCCATTTTCCTAGCTCCTGCAGTTAGATCAGAATATATGCTCACACAAGGACTTGGTGCTAAGATCCACAAATGAGGGAGAACATACATTGTTTGTTTTTCTGAGTCTGTGTTACTTTACTTAGTATAACAATTTCTAGTTTCATTCATTTACCTGCAAATTTCATCTTTACCACTGAGTAGAACTCCATTGTGTAAATGTACCACATTTTCACTATGCACTCATAAGTTGAGGGGCACTTAGGTTGCTTCCATTTCTTAGCTATTATGAAAAGAGCAGCAACAAACATGGATATACAAGTATCTCTGCAGTAGGCTGAGTCCTTTGGGTATATGTCAAGGAGTGGTATAACTGTATCATATGGTAGATTCATTCATATGGGTTATACAAGGAACCATGGGGGTAAAGCAGAGTTCTCCACACTGCTTTCCATAGTGGTTGCACAAGTTTGCAATCCTACAAGAAGTGAATGAGAATGAGCATTCTCCTTTCTCCACATCCTTGCCACAATTTGGTATCATTTGTTCTCTTGATCTTAGTCAGTCTGACTAGGGTAAGATGAAATCTTAAAAGTGGTTTTAATTTGCATTTCCCTAATTACTAAGGATGTTGGACACTTTTTAAGGTGTTTCTTAGTCATCTTTATTTCCTCTTTTGAGACCTCTCTGTTCAGATCCATAGCCCATCTTATAATTTGGTTATTTTTTTCATTTTTTGTTTTTTTAATTCTTTATATATTCTGGTTATTAATCCTCTGCCAGAAGTGTTGCCAGTGAAGATTTTCTCCCACTTTGTGGATTTTCTCTTCACTTCCTTGATTGTTTCTTTAGCTGTACAGAAGCTTTTTAGTTTAATGATTTCCAGTGATGTTGATTGTAGACCTTAACTCCTGATGTCCAATTTAGAAAGTTCTTTCCTACACCTATATCCTGTACTGCATATGTTTTCTTCTAGCAGTTTCAGAGTTTCAGGTTTCACATTGGGGTCTCTGATCCATTTGGAGTTGACTTTAGTGCAATGTGAAAAATAAAGGTTTAGTTTCATTCTTTTACAAGTGGAGATTCAATTTTACCAGCACCATTTGCTGAAGGTGCTGTCTTTCCTCCAGCGTGTGTTCTTGGCAACTTTATCAAATATCAGGTGGCTGAAATTGCATGTACTCATGTTTGAGTCTTCAGTTTGTTCCATTGATCTATGTGTCTATTTTTGTGCCAATACCATGCTGTTTTTATGAATATAACTCTGTAATACAGTTTGAGATCTGGTATGGTAATCCCCCCAACATTGGTTTTTGTGCTCAAGATTTCTTTGGCTATCTGGAGTCTTTTGGGTTTCCATATGAATTTTAGAATTTTTTTTTCTAATTCTGTGAAGAATGTCATTTTGATTGGACTTGCATTGACTCTGTATATTGCTTTTGGTAGGATGGTCATTTTCACAGTATTAATTCTTCCAACCAATGATCATGGGAGGTCCTTCCATCTCCCAGTCTCTTTCTCAATCTCTTCATCAAACATTTAAATTTTCATTGTAGAGATCTTTAATGTCTTTGGTCAAGTTTATTCCTTTCTCTATATATTTGAAGTTATTACGAATGGGAGGGTTTCTTTGTACTCTTTCTCTGATTTCTTGTTATTAGTATATAGAAAGGCTACGGATATTTGTAGATTGATTTTTGTAACCTGCTACTTTGCTGAAAGTGTTAATCATTTCTAGGAGTTTTCTGGTGGAATTTTTGGGATCCCTTATGTGTAATATCATATCATCTGTAGATAGGGATAACTTGACCACCTCCAATTACTCCTCCTTTTATTTCCTTCTCTTGTTTTACTGCTCTAGCAAGAGTTTCAAGCACAATATTGAAAAGGAGTGGAGACAGTGGCCAGCCTTATCTGGTTCCTGATTGTAATGGGAATGCTTCGAGTTTTTCTACATTTAGAATGATGTTGGCCATGAGTTTTAAAATTTTATTTATTTTTATTTTATGTGCATGAATGTATTATCTGCATGTGTGTAAGAGCACCCATGTCATACAATGCCCGCAGAAGTTGGAATATAGCTTTGGATCCCCTGGCACTGAAGTTACCAATAGTTATTAGCCACCATGTGGGTGCCGGGAATCAAACCCTAGTCCTCTGCAAGAGCAGTCAGTGCTCTTAATCGCTGAGTCATCTCTACAGCTCTGACCATGGGTTTGTTGTATATAGCTTTAATTATGTTGAGGTATGTTCTCCAGTCCAGTTCCCTCGAGGACTTTTAACATAAATGCATATGGGATTTTTGTCAAGGGCCTTTTCTGTGTCTATTGAGATGACCATATGACTTTTAAGTGTCTTTGAGTCTAGACTTCATATGATTTATGATGTTTATTGACTTATGTATATTGAACTATCCCTGCATCTCTGGAATAAAGCAGACTTGACCATGGTGGATGATCTTTTAGATGTGTGTCTATATGTGGTTTGCAAGTATTTTGTTGAGAATTTTGCATCTATGTTCATCAATGATATGGGTCTATAGTTTTCTTTTGTGGTTGCATCTTTACCTGGTTTGGGTACTAGAGTGATGCTGGCTTCATAGAACAAATTTAGGAGTTCTCCTTCTGTTTCTATCTATTTGAATAATTTAAGTAGTATTGGTTGTAGATCTTCTTTAAATATTTGGTAGAATTCTGCTGTGAATCCATCTGGGCCTGGGCATTTTTTAGTTGGGAGGTTTTATATTACTGTTTCGATTTCATTTATTTGTTATAGGTCTGTTTAAGCTGTTGATCTCTTCTTGCTTTAGCTTTGGTAGGTCCCATGAATTTAGATATTCATTCTTTTCTTTTAAGTTTTCAAATTTAGTACAGTGTAGGTTTATAAATTAGTCCTTTATAATCTTCTGGATTTTGTGTGTGTGTGTGTGTGTGTGTGTGTGTGTGTGTGTTGTGAAGTTTTCCCTTTCATCTCTGATTTTGTTTATTTAGATTTGCTCTTTCTTTCTTTTGCTTAACTGGGCTAAGGATCTGTATATCTTGTTTATCTTTTCAAAGAACCAGCCTTAGATTGATTCTTTGTATTGTTTTCTTTGTTTCTATTTTATTAATTTCTGCTCTTATTTTTGTTATTTCTTCTCATCTGCTGGGTTCAGGTTTGGTTTGTTCTTACCTTTCCAGAGTCTTGAGTTGCATTAAGTCATTTATTCGAGCTTTCTAATTTTTTAATGTAGGCACTTAGAGGCTATAAACTTCCCTCTTAGGACTGCTTTTAAAGTATCTCAGAGGTTTGTTGTGTTGTGTTATCCTTTTTGTTTAGTTTCAGGAATACTTTTCTATTTTTCTTAATTTGACCATTCATCATTCAGGAGTGTGTTGCTTAATCTCCATGAGTTTGTATAGTTACTAGAACTTCTTTTGGTGATTATTTTAAGCTTTATTGCATTTTTGATCTGGTAGAATGCATGGACTTATTTCAATTTTTTTGTATTTGTTGAGGTTTGTTTTGTGCCCCAGTATGTGGTAATTTTAGAGAAACTTCCATGGGCTGTTGAATAGAAAGTGTATTTGATACTTGGTGGAATATTCGGTAGATGTGTGTTAGGTTCATTTGATTTATAGTATCATTTAACTCATGTTCCTCTGTTTATTCTTTGTCCAGTTGACCTGTCTATTGGAGATAGTGGATACTGAAGTCCCCTACTATTACTGAGTTGGAGATAATCTGTGTCTTAAAGTTCTGTAGTATTGTTTCTATGAAAGCGGGTGTACCCAAGTTTGGCACATATATTTTCATGACTGTAATATCTTCTTGGTGAATTGTTCCTTTGATCAGGATGAAGTGACCCTCTTTATCTCTTTTGATTAGTTTAGTTTGAAGTGTGTTTTGTCAGTTATTAGAACTGCAACCCCTGCTTGTTTCTTAGTATCATTTGCTTGGAATATTTTTTCATCCTTTCACCTTAAGGTAGTGCTTGAAGGTGGGATGAGTTTCTTGCAGAGAATGAAAAAATGGATTTTGTTTCTTAATTCATTTAACTAGCCTTTTGGCTAGTGTTTTTTGACTAGGAAGTTCAAGCCATTGACACTGGAAGTTACTACTGAAAGATGTGTATTGATTACCACCAGTTCAATTTCTTGGCCTGATATTGTGTTTCCACAATTATACTTTCATTTAATTTCTTTCTGTTGCCTCTTGGACATAGTCATTCATTTCTTCAGTTTTTGCATTGCTTTGAGTATTCTCTGAAGGGCTGGTTTGTGGACATGAATTCTTTCAGTCTATTCATGTCATGGAAGATTTTTCTTCCCCTTCAACTATAATAGACAGTTTTTCTGGGGATGGACATGGCTCAATTTAGCAAATTCACCTGGAGGCACTCTCAGACAGTCTTGAAATGTCTGGGTCCCTACTAGGTAGTGGGGAAGCCTGGGAGGGGCTGCAGATGATCCCAAAACAAGGGGATGGATGCAATTCAATTTAGTGAACTCACCAAGGATGCCAAGTCAAGCACATTCCATATTCTTAATATTCTTAATATTTTTGGTTCCTAAATTCCTAAGCAAAACACTTCTCAGTAAAGAAAAATATTTCTATGGTCAAACTATTTTTTAAAATATCACTACTGGGCTGGAGAGATGGCTTAGCAGTTAAGAGCACTGGCTGTTCTTGGAAAAGACCTGGGCTCCAATCCCAACACTCCATGATGGCTAACAACCATCCATAACTCCAGTTCCATGGAATCCGATACCCTCTTCTGTCTTCTGTGGGTACTGAACAACATGGGTGCACTAACACACATGCAGGTAATACACTCATATACATAAAAAATACAAAATAAATGAATAAAAATTAAATGTCACTATTTCTGTACCTCACAAAGAACTTTCCTATGCACAGTCTCATCTGTACTATAACATTACCAAGTCCATCTTAAAGTGAAATACAAGTTCAGAGCAGTGTTAACCACTTAAAGAACATCTGTAGAGTGCCTAAATTCCATATATGACACCTGTCTGCAATGTTGGTTCAGTCATACTATAGACCATGAAATCAGACTCTTCCTGTGAGGTTCTGTCCATGAAAAGATGAATTGTTATTTAGCTCTACTTTACAATGCCTTATAGAAGAGATATTTATGATATTGATACCTCCAGAATAAGGTGATGATGAAATTCAATTAAGAAATTATTAATTCAATTAATTAATAATATTCATTAAGGTAAAAATGAATATTATTCATAACTAACAAGAGTTACAATATACCTGAAACTTACTGAGTGCCCACAAATGCCAAGCACTGAGCCTAGCCCTTTGTTTTTTTTTAAATTTTTTTAAAAAATTTTATTTATTATTTTTATTTTATGTGTGTATTTCCTGCATGTAGGAAAGTGCACCCATGTCATGCAATGCCCATGGACAACAGAAGAGGCTGTCGGATCCCCTGGAATTGGAGTTACAGACAGTTGTTAGCTGCCATGTGGGTGCTGGGATTTGAACCCAGGTCTTCTGCAAGAACAACCAGTGTTCTTAACCGCTGAACCATCTCTCCAGCCCCCTTTTTTTTAATTAAAAAAAAATTATTATTTTTATTTTATGTGTATGCACGTATATAAGTGCACTGGGTTGTGCAATGTCAGCGGAGGTCAAAAGACACTGTCAGATCCCCTGGGACTGGAGTTATGAACAGTTGTTACCTGCCATGTGGGTGCTGGGATTCAAACCTGGGCCTTCTGCAAGAAAAACCAGTGTTCTTAACTGCTGAGCCGCCTCTCCAGCCCCAAGCCCAGCCTTTTGTATCTATTTCCATTTAATTTTTTTTATCAACTCATTGAAAAGGAAACATTATCCCATATTATGGAAAATTTTAAGACAGACAACTGGGCTTAAAATCTGCTGAATCACAGCTGATGAGTGACTGGGCAAGGGTTCTTAATATGTAAGCGGTCTTAACAGAAGGTCTATAGATCATTCATCATATTTCACAAAGACCCAGAACTCTGACGTATCACCCATACCATCATGGATCCAGCCACTGAAATACCACCAACTTGATTTTAAATTACACAGAGGGAGGAGCAAGAATGTCTCAGGCGTGGTCCCGCTACTCAGTGGAGAGCAAATGTGGTTAAGTGCTGACAGGATAACTGACAAGGGACATGCCACAATACCTCATAAAGGACTCAAAAGTTAATTACAATGAGTAATCACTGTGGCTTCACCTAACCACATACAGCAAGTCTCTGTTTTACAATGAAAGCCTCTATTTTACAGGAGTTCTTCAAATTCCCTGTCCCTGTCCTCCAGTACTCACTTAGTAGATGAAAACTTTCTGGGAAGATGATCTTCTGTGGTATTTTTCTTAACTCTAAAAAAAAAATTAAAACAGAAAAAATATTTCAAATGTATGCAAGTGAATAATGCAGTTTAACATAAATGTCTATGGAATTTGTGATTGCTTTGCTTTTAAGATATACAAAAGAGGGAGGAAAATGAAAGTCCTTGATTATCATCCAGAAACTACAAGGCAACTGCAAATGTGATTTACTTCAGTGTCATAACCCATCATAACATATGCTGAGGATCTGGTCCCTGGTGTGATGGTATTCAGAGGTATTCTGGAAAGTAATTAGGCTAGATGCACAGGGTTGGGCCCCATGATGAGATTACTTTCCTTAGAAGAAGAGAGATCAAAGCTTGCTCTCTAGGCCTGAGGATGAAGTTAGAAGGCAGGCTGCCATAGTACTTGACCTCTGACAACCTGATTCTGGACTTCCAGTCTCTAAAACTGTTAATTCCTATTGCTTCAATGACCCAGTTTAGGACATACTGTTACTAATCTCAGTTGGTGAAGACAAAAAAAAAAAAAATTAAGGTTGAAAATACTCACTTTGGGATAGACACTTTATCAGTAAATACAGGTCTTTGTCTAACCAAATGTTTGCTTTTGGGAGGAATCTGGGTCACTCTGGATACTTCTTCAGCTGGCAAGATGTCCACTAGAGGAATACTGTGCTTATCTGGAAGAGATGCATCATGAGTCACCATTGCCTTGATGGTAAGGGAAAAGCCAAAGTAAACAGCACAATACTATCCATGGTGCCATGGAAAAGAACAAGCCTGCCTCTTGGGTCTGGAATCCAGACTCAGGGCTTTGTTTTGTTGTTGTTTTTTTGGGGGGGTTCATTGGTTGTTTTGAAACAGGGTCTCATGTAGTCCAAGATAGCCTCAAACTTGCTATAGAGTCAAGGATGACTATGAACTCCTAACCTACCCACCTCCACCTTCCAAATGGTAGGACTGTAGGTGTGCAACCCTGTTCCTCCAATGGGACCCAGGGCTTCTTTCAAAATAAAAGCATATTCCAAGACCCAGCATTTATAATACAAATAGTTAAGTGCCAAAATTTGCAAACATTTAAAATTATGAAAAGATAGTTAAATTCATCTATTATTTCCCAATGAAATAAATGCCAGGTGGCAGTGGCAGCAGCAGGCTTACCTGAAGAGAGTGACATTTTCTTCTCAACTTTACAGATGAGCTGATGTTCAAGTTGTTCTCGAATTTGCTGAATGTTAGGCACTTGTTTTGCTAGATCATGCCTGGCTAAGTTCATAGCTCTCAGAGTTTTATTCAAAATCTCACAGGGAATACCATGTATATCCTGAAGGAATAAGATGCTGTGTTAGTCAGCTCTCCTGGGATGTTTTCCATTTCATGGGTATATGTCAGCATTAACTCTGTTCTCCTTATGTTCCAGGGTCATTTAAGGGAGAAGAGGGGATGCCCCAACAAACTCTTCTGGTTCTAAAAGAAGCTGGCAATGTAGATGGTGACATCAGGTGTGTGCCTAAGTCTTTGTAACTGGTTAACCAATGGTAAAAGGCTGAGACAGAGGGCCCCCATCCTTGAGAGAAGGCTGAAGCTGGAGGCTGAGCTGTGCTCTGATAAAAGGTGGAGAGAAGTGGAAATAAGAAGCAATTTCCAGATGAGTGGGCATTGGTGACACCTTGTAGGAAAGTCAGGGCTCTGGGGTGGAAATAGTCAAAGTATGTCCCACAGGCTACTCCTACAAAGACCTAGGGAGGGACACCAGAAAAAAGAACTGAATATCAACATGGAAAGCTAAAAGATCATTCTGCAGAGAGGAGAAAGTCATCAGAGGTGACTCACAATTATGAAGCTAGCATAATTAAAGAGGTGATCTGAGAAAACTTGGATTTGATGAGAATCTAGACAGAAGAAAGTTATTTAAAGGGCTAGTTATTTAATAACAGTGTTTCACACACAAGCACATCTCCCTTCCATCTTCATCCCCATTCTCCTTCTACCTCACTGTTCCTTTTGGTTTCCCCATCCCTGGGAGTGGCCCACTACCCACACAGGTGTACAGGACAGAAATCTCTGGCACTTCCAAAAAGGGTTCTCTGATCTCAGTTATTTGATTGATCTGCCCTACTTTTCCTTCCTTTCTCTATGTGAGCTATAGAGAAACATAACAGAGCGACTCATTCATTCAATAATGTTTGCTAAGTGATGATTCTGTAATAAGCAGTGATTTATGGCTAGTATCAGAATGTAAGATGCACCCTAACCAATCACACACCAACTCTGGCTCCTTCAGTACTAGTTATGGGATGTTAGTCATGTTACCTAATCTTTCTGTAAAATGGAAATAGTATCACTTATTTCAGAAATTTGTTCTATGTTTAAATAAGTTTGTATTTGTTAAGGTCTTGGAAATACACTGGGTACTTAGTGAATGCCATCTAGAGGTCTACTAGCCTATGTCACCTTAGCATCTAGTCTCAATTCAGACAGAACTAACGAGACTTCGTCTCTTCTCTGGTCCTTCCTGATTTAAGGAACGAAATATAACAAGCAAATATTCCAAAAATAAGCTAGCAAATATTTCAAAATGAATGAACGTACTGTATTAATTCCAAAGAATTTCAGTTTGTTCACCAATTTCTTCTCCAAGTTTGTTCTTAGTTGCTGAGGGGAGAGGTCAGTCTTTGAAGTTTTCCTTAAATGTGTCTTCTTATTTAACTTCTGTTCATTTTCCCTTCCTGAAATAAAGTTTTATTTTTTAAATAGGGTTAAAGGGAATTATACAAATATGTTAAATCCCCAAGCAGAAAATGGAAAAACACAACTTTAACAATGCAAGTAAACATTTGTAATGTTTTTAAGTTTGTTATTTTAGTCCTTTGGCACAACATATAATGCTTATATATTATAGTTTCAAAAACTATTTTAAGTCTGCTTCAAAACTTCAGTGTCTTTTAAGACTCCTGATTGCGCCCCCTCAAATTATAGTTAAACAATTTAACATATATATATATATAATACTTAATGTTTTATGCTTTATCGTTAGGACTATTCCAGTATTTCACAAACAGCTTATCTCTAAGCTTAGTGAGAATTTACCTTATAATGAAAAAGCAAAATTTATTTAAATTAAAAGTTTTAGGGTGATAAATTTAGAAGTCAAGTGCATATAAAATTTCAAATGTGGTAATTATTATCCCCTTCAAAATATTACCAAAAACCAAAATGAAGTTAGCTAAAGTTTTAAGAGTACAGTTTGTTTCAAACATCTATAATTTCAAAGACAGAAGCCTGAACAAGCAGAAAGTCAGGTCACACTGCACTTTTCATCCCCTACTTTCCTTTTTTCCTTTCTCTTTGTGGTGCTGAGGGCTAAACCCCATCGCTACAGCCCTAGCTCATCCGATTCCACTTTACTGCCTGCTAAAAAATGTTCAGTACAGAAGAGCTTGGAGCAGGGAACTAATGGCATGACCTTTCAAAGTCAGAGTCCTTCTATCCCAGGTACTTTAAGAACTGACTAAGGAGACCCAGTGTTTGACTTAAGAGAATGTCTGGTCAGATCAGGAAGAAATCTGGCATGTGCACTATCATTTTCAGGGCTCATTTCCAAGCAGGGGCATTTCGTCAACCAAGGCCACATGAAATGTTCTTCCTGAGGTGTGTCTCTTCCTTCTTCCACTGCCTTGCTGGCTGGAGAGTTTTAGTAACCACTGCGCTTGATTTGTAGAAGATCAACAAAATGCTTTTGTTCAGCATGTATTCTAGATCCCTATTCAATTCTAATACTAAATAGTATTTCTGTTATATTAAAAGTTTTTGTTGTTGTTGTTCTTTTTGAGGCAGGGTCTCCCTGTAGCCCCAGCTGTCCTGGAACTCACTATGTAGACCAGGCTGGCCTTGAACTCACAGAGATTCGCCTGCCTCTGCCTCCGGAGTGCTGGGATTAAAGGCGTGCGCCACCACACCCGGCAAAAAATCTTTTTTCTTTTAGGCAAGGTCACTTTCTAGCCCAGGTTGGTCTCCAACCTCACAGCTCCTAGTGCCACCACACCCAGGTATTAGCTAAATTTCACTAACAACAGAATTAGGCAAATTAATCTGTATATTAAACAGAAGGAAAAAAAAACCTATATGAAGATACTTTTCTACTTTTGTTATTCCAGCTTCCTAAACTGAAACCATCAAATGATGTGTGTGATTATATCATTAAAAGTCAGAAGTCACCTTGAATTTTACATTCTCATTTATGCTTCTGATCAACTAGCAATATTTTCGAAAATTCAGAAACCACCATGAAACAACAACAAAAAAGTAAAAGAAAACCCCCACTTCTGCCCTAAGAACTTAAAATCAGTCAAAATCCAGATTTGGCCTCTACATCAGTAGCTTTGACATCTAGTTGGTCAATGTGCAGCTATGTAGGACTCAAAAAGAGATACCTAGAAAGAGCCTTGACATTACAGCACTACGATTGAAGTCGATTTACCATCTGTGTTGAGTGTGCAAAGATAATTTTCTGGCCAATGCCTCATACATAAAAGGAAACACACAGAAGCATAGCCTGCAGAGGCCCCACTTGCTGCAGGACATGGACCACAGACAGGGCTCAAGGGATGCCTAAGCCACCTTAGCCCTATTTCAGAAGCCAGCCTTTGGTACCAGTTGCTGCATTCATTTCCTAATGCATCCAGGGTCCCCCTTCTTCCCAGTGACAGGTTATCTTGATGACTGAGTTCCCCAAGTTAGGACACATGAAACATTTCCTTTTGCCCTGAAGTCTTATTTGTTGCTGATTGCTGTGGGAAGCCATTCCTGAATAAGTATAAAGTTTTAGTAGGGATTCTTTCAAGACCAGGCTGGCTAATGGAAACAACAGAAATAAATCAGGGTGCACAGGCGAGGGCAGGGTAGTTTTTAAGTAGAGGCAGAATTAATTACTTGAAAATCAAACTCTGGTGAAGATTTAGTTAAAACACATGTTGTTCATCAAGACCAACAAAATAAAGCTTTTTAGAGATTAGAAGCTCCACTAAAGATTTCTGAAACACAAGCTGTTGGCTAGATTAAGGCATAATAGCCTGCACATGTGACCGTGATGCCAGGCACACACAGACTACTTGTTATAAGCATACTATACAGCAAAATAATTAAAACAGGGCTTGGTGAGGTGGCATGAACCTTAATTCCAGCACTTGGCAGGCAGAGGCAGGAGGATTTCTGTAAGTTTGAGGCCAGCCTAGTCTATATAGTATGAGTTCCAGGCCAGCCAAGGCTATGTAGTAAGACTGTCTCAAAAAAACAGTTTCTTCTTTTAAAAATTATTTTTTTGTGTTCATGAGTGTATTTCCTGCATGTGTGCAAGTGCACCTGTATCGTGCAATGCCTTCGCAGGTCAGAAGAGGGCATCGGATTCCCCTGGAACTGGAGTCATGGTCGGTTGTTACCTGCCATGTGGGTGCTGGGAATTGAACCCAGGACCTCTGCAAGAGCAATCAGTGCTCTTAATCACTAAGCCATCTCTCCAGCCCCCAACTTCTTTTTTTAAATGCAAAAATTTTCACATGGAGACACAGAAATTAGAGAATTACTGGCACTTCCATCCATTAAGGACACAAAGCTAGTCCTGCAAAGTCACACCAACTTGTCTGTCTGCTTGCTTCCTGCCTTGAAGTATAGAAAGCAGAAAATCTGGTCTTTAATTCCAGCCTAGTCACTAATCAAACTCAACCACATGAAACAGACTTCTAATCCCCTCCTGATCTTCACATTAAAAAAAATAATAAAATGGCCTCTAAGAGCCATTCTGATCCTCAATTCTAAGATCCTATGAAACAGCATGGTTTAGTGTGGCCCTCCGCAACAGTCAAAAGGCAGCTATGAAGAGATGTGCACATGTTGAGTTACTTCTTAGTAACAGCTGTAATGTTTTTGTAAAACATTGCCAAAATTTGTATCAAAACTTTTGTTTATGAAACATATTGCTAAACATTGAGACAATCATTACAAAGAAAAAAAAATGAGCAACTAAAATAATACTTTCTGGGCTGGGGATATCGCTCAGTTGGTAGAGTGCATGCCTAATATGCACAAAACTCTGGAATCAATTCCCAGCACGCATAAAGCAGGCGTGGTGACACAGAATCCCAGCACTCGGGAGATGAAGGCACGAGGATCATAAGTTCAAGATCATTCTCATCTACATAGTGAGTGAAAAGCAAGCATGGGCTACATGAAATCCTGTCTCAAAATATATTACAAAAAGATACTCCTGCCTGACGTGGTGGCGTACGCCTTTAATCCCAGCACTCGGGAGGCAAAGGGAGGCAGATCTCTGTGAGTTCAAGGCCAGCCTGGTCTACATAATGAGTTTAGGACAGCTGGGGCTACAGGGAGACCCGGTCTCAAAAAGACCAAAAAAAAACCAAAAAAGATACTCCTTATAATTATGCATTTTTCCATAAACTTCAAAAACAGAAAATGATCTTTAGAAATGCCAAATGGGGGGCTGGAGAGATGGCTCAGCGGTTAAGAACACCACTGGTTGTTCTTACAGAAGACCCGGGTTTGAATCCCAGCACCCACATGGTAGCTAACAACTGTCCATAACTCCAGTCCCAGGGGATCTGACAGCCTCTTCTCACCTCAGCCGGCATGGCACGACATGGGTGCACTTACCTACAATGCAGGCATACACACATACACATAATAAAAATAATAAATAAAATATTAAAAAAAGAAATGCTAAATGAAGTGAATGATAATTTTAATTATTAATCCGAACCTCTAACAGTTCCCAAATCCCACCATGCAGACATTGTTTTCCACTAAACACTCCACATCCAATGCTTGGATCCTGTCCTTTTTTTTGACTTAAGAATAATTTGGGGGCTGGGGTCTTAGCTCCCTGGCAGAGCATTTGCCTAGCATGTGCAAGGCCCTCAGTTCAATCCCCAGCACTGCAAAAAGAAAAATAGTAATATCATTTGAAAGTCATTCATTTCAGATTAAAGCTCTGAGAAATCACCACTTTGATATTAATATTTTCAAATCATCTTATACATAACATGTGCAACCTATCTAATCAGAAAAAAAAATCTGTATTAAAATAAAGAA